TTCGGGCCGTTCTGTGTTGTTATACAGATACTGGACGGAATTCGAGATTTTTTGTACTATTACTGGATAGGAAAAAAAAATGATTGCATCGTGTTAGGTATTTTAGGAGTTCCTGGCTTACAGATAGCTTTGGACAATGTATCTTTGCAGTGCCATAGAATTTAACTCTGAGAATTGTAACTCCCCAACGGCACATAACAACTATGTGTGTTTACCATGCCAGCTTCGAGGTAGAGCCCGGCCAGTATGATCCTTAGCGGCAACTTTGCTTTGTAAGACCTGTGTGTCCATAGTCTGTGTGCTCCTGCAGTAACACCTATCCCGCCAACAATGCCGTACAGCAAATCTGCAACAAAATATGCAATTTTTATGCTGTTTCGCACAAATTTCTCAGTCTGCTTAGTATCCGTAATGTAAAGGCAGTATGTCTGAATTTATTGTTTTCAGTTAGGTCACGGTTTAATTATAACATTAATCTAATTACCTTGAAATATAAGACTGGTAATTGTAGGTACGGAATACAAGAAATGTTCCAAAAATTTTAATGGTGTTATTTTTCAGTTCTCAATCCGGAAAATATCGAAGGACATTTGCTATCCGGTTCATTGCTACGTTTCTTTCGCATTTGTTCGGATATTTCGTGTAATGTTCAGGTCTGTGTGTTCGGAGTGTCCCAACCCCCACCTCACACTGACTTGCTCCCACACGTATTGATTTGGTATTGTCACGTGTTGGGTGTATGTCACGCGACAAAAAACTTCACGCCCTCTTGGATCTAGCGAATTTATTGAACACTCGCTCTCACACTCACACAATTCACAATTACACCATTGCTGCCATCGGCAGTGTCACAATTACATCTTCTGCTGGAGTCACTGCCATGCACTCGATACTCGACTTTGACTCGAACACACGCACTTTGCAGCAAAGTTACCAAATTTGCGATGGTTTTCTTTTCCAGAGGATCAGCCTTTTTGTAAATTTTCTGCGACTCACCGGTAAGGCGGAACGGACAGAAGGACATTTTACTCGAACGCTTCCAGATAGTCACGTCTTATGCAATAAGTGCTACCATCTGCAATTGTTTCGGCAAAGTTGGTAACTGTAGGCCTATAATTGATATCTGGTTCTGCCTTTTTTTGTTTAATTCGTAAATGAAAATCGCAATTGAAAAGGCTAATTCCCTTAATTTCTATTATTCTTCGATATTCAACTGTGTGGTACATCCCGCAGATACAGGGCGCCAACTCAGGTGAACCCTTCACCATTAACAATAAAATCATTAGGAATAGTTAGCAGCGATTGGTTAAAACAAATAAGTAAGATCAGACACCATATCTGTCGAAATTCTAAAACTGGGTGGGGAAGCCATGATTCAGTACATTACGCGATTATTGGACATCACAAATAATGCCGCTATCCCAAGTGACTGGAAAAAGCCGTAGTAGTACCTATTAGCAAAGTGTTGACTGATCGCTGGGCTGAAATTACAGACCTTTCAGTTTAACCACTGGTTTGCAAGCAAATGGAAATTGTTATTGCTTCGTATCTGAAGAAACTCTGGGATAAAAGAGATTGGTTATTCGAGTTTCAACTTTGATTCAGGCCGGGATACCCATGTGAAAGTCAAGCGATTACGGTTTGCCAGGACATTGCAAACTCACTGGATAACGGAGGTAGGATAGACGCAATTGTAAAAGATTTTGCGAAGGCTTTCGATTTAGTTCCCCATGATCGAAAATTGCGTTCTCGGGGGTGCACGCGACGGTAGTTGTATGGATAAGGGAATTCCACTTGGGGTCTACACAGAGAGTAAGAGTAGGAGGGAAATTACCAGAGGAACTCAGAGTAACGTCAGGAGTACCGCAAGGAAGTGCACTGGCCCACTGCTGTTCCTCGCGTACCTAAATGATATTTGGAGAAGTATTGAGTCAAGTATTAGACTTCTCGCAGATAACTGTATAATATATAGGAAAATTATAAATAATAATGATGTGGATAAGTTGCAGATAGATCTCAACAGGCTGCGGGAATGGGTGGCTGAAAATGCGATGGTAATTAAACCAGCTGTAAGCAAGGCAGTTTGTTTCACGAGAGCCCGAGTGACGGAGCCACTAAATTATTCGTCACGGGACATTAATTTCTGAAGCGAGCAGTTGTAAATACTTGGGAATAATTTTACACAGCGATTTAAGTTGGGCTGATCAAGCTAATTACACGGCGAAAAAAGCCTGGAAAATACTTCATTTACAATGCGTATTCTTAAAAGGGGAAATAGTGGTGTGCCCTGAAAGGGGTCATTGACTGTACTCTACCCCAATCGGATGTCCGTGGATTTCTCTTAACCTATGCGGTGGAAAACATGCTTACATAAGGAGACCCATAAGAACTTGATTATTCAAATAATAATAAAGTAATGTACAAAAATCGGCAGATTCCTCCTGGCCGATATTCTGCCAAGCGAGACTTGCTTCTGTGTCGTTCTCTGATCTGTCAGCAATTTCTGTAAACTGTACACCTGAAACCGGACGGCTAAGGAATGTACTACTCCCAAAGGTGATCTCAACCCAGGTTTCCGGCTGACCATCCTGTGGTTCGCCCAACGTATTTCAATTTATTCGTGTAAAACTTATAATTATTTTCTAATGAATTAAACACAAAATCGATCCATTAAGAACCTGGGGCACAACAATGGTAACACTAAAAAGTTAACCTACACATCACTAAAGTGTCCGATTCTTGAATATGGGACTGCGTATTAGGATCCTTACAGGAAGGGATAAATGCGCTAGACCGGGCCCAAAACATGGCGGATAAATTTGCACATCTTATAAATGATCCAAATTGGGAAACCTTGACACAGCACAGAAAGATAACTCGTATATGTGCTCTCTACAAAGCGTACGCGGGAAAACGGACTTGGAAGGCTATAGGTGATAGATTACAAAGGCCATACTATCTGACCAGGGTCGATCATGATAGGAAAATTAGGAATAGAAAGCAAAAGACAAATATCCGAAAATATTCCTTTGTAAATAGGACCATCGAGCTTTGGAACCAGCTACCTGGAGACGCTTTAGGGACTTTGATTTGTTTCATTCTGGTCCGTCACACTAACAATTACAAATATAAATCACTCCGCCCAATGTGACCTGTAAGTTTTTTACTACATGAAAACTCAACACCCTTACATGTTTCGGTCTCTGTGGACCATCTTCAGAGGGCAAACATCACTACAAATAGGAAACCACGTTCACATAAGTTGTTTAGACGTAAAGTACGTACACTTATATGCTACAATACATAGTTCACAAAATAGAACATTTCAGAAACACAGCAGTTTCCTGGGAATGTAAAGTTTTTTTATAAAATTGTATAAAATTTCTTGATGCTAATTAAAATTTGTTTGGATTGTCAATAATTAAAATTCACATTGGACGGAGTGATTTATATTTGCTTTAGGGACTCTCTCCTGTAAATCAAGTAATTTTAGAAAAAGAGTTAGCAAAGCTGTAAATAAGGCGAAGTGAAGGCATAGGAGAAATCATCCGAAAAGGCAGTGAAGTGAAAGGAAGTGAAGTTGGATAAAGGGAAACTCATGGTGGAATGGGGGCGCATCAGAACATGGCATTACACATTCCAGCACTATTATTGTTTAGTATATATTTTTTATTGCTAGTCCCTTGCACTGCGGCCACTTCTGGCCTATTGTGCCAGCCCCAGATGATACGTGAGGGTGATTGTGGAGCAATTGGTGGAATGAAGGCTGTCAGGGGAAACCGAAGTACTCGGAGAAAACCTGCCCTAGCGCCACTTTGTCCACCACAAATCCTACTTTAACAGACCCGGGATCGAACCCGGACCGCCGCGATGGGAAGCCAGCGACTAACTGATTGAGCTATGTCTCGGCCTGCTAAGTACAAATAGTATACATATTCTTTTATTAATATTAATTTATATAATTGTAGTTGTAAGTGTATTTTCATTGTATTTACTGTGTGTTAGTGTGTTCTTTGTTGTTTGTGTTTTGTTTGAGTGTGGTGTGTGTATTTGTGTGTTATGTCTTATTGTAGTACCACTGCCACCGGACAAAAACCCATTTGCAGTTTAAATAAATAATGTAAAAATGTAGAAGTAAAGGTATTCCTGTAACAGGCCGTGGAGGCCCATAAGTTTGTTAGACGTCAAGGCTCCCACAGTTTCTAGAAAATCGACTCACAGATGGCGGAAAAGTTGTCAGCCCTACTCGCCGGCCGCCCTTTACCCCGAAGAATATTCTAAGAATAATAATAATAATAATAATAATAATAATAATAATAATAATAATAGTTTGCTACAACACTTAATGGTAGAAAACCAAACGTTGGGGTTTGATAGGTGCGTGTTTGTGTATTTCAGACTTTTACCTCCTTTTGCAAGAAAATTAACTTATTAAACACTAATGCCACTTACCCCAGAGAACAGTAATCAGTTTAGCACGTGGAACCACAACGAGGAGACTGTATAAGGCTAGGAGATGTATCACAGTCAGCAGTATCACGTTGTTCCATTTCATCTGCTGCTTCGCAGGCGTCGCGGTGTCTGCCTCCCCATTCGCCGCCATATTGCCAAGAAATATATCTTTCTGCAATATACAGTTATTGTATTAGGTAGAAAGAAAGGCGTAGTTTTCCCTGTGCTTAATTAAAGACCACGTCATTTTTGACCGCTACACTAGATGGAGGTGAGTGTTTGGTTTCACGCTCCGGCCGTCTTGCAACCGGGAAAAGAACTCCCGGTGTGCATTGTATACGTGGTCGGTCTGGAAGTGGTAAGGATTTCTTGTCGACAACTGAGCCCAGGATCCGTCGTTATACCGACTGAGCTATCGAGACTCGCAGTATGTTACACTCATGTGAAAATGGAGGGAGTGTTCGGAGTAGGAAACATTTAAACGGACGTCTCTAAAATGCCGATTACGGTGGCCGCGCGGCCTAAGGTATGAACAGCTTCGCCCTCGCGGACTCTGGGATCGTGGGTTCGAATCCGTCTCAAGGCATGGATATTTGTGTTAGGTAGCAGCCTTACGACGGGCCGATCCCCTATCCAATGAGTCCTACCGTCTGTCTTAGATTAAGAGAAAATAAAATTTACTTACCTCGACACCGCAAGGTTTAAAAGGAGCAGCTAAGGAAAGAAAGCAAGCCTCTAAAATCAGTGAATATTTTGTTATTGTGGAAACCACAAATTGATCTGTCGGTAAGTCGAGCGTTTTGAAATATTCTTTCAAAATATTTTGCAGTTTCTCCCTTGAACACAAAGTGACGCAAATGACACACGCGCCTTTATGTCTGTTTTATCAGTTTTGGGGGCCTTGAAACTCACGTAGTTACTGTTATTATAGAGTGTATGTAAGGAGTGGGTGGTGCGTGTGTTGACAGTTGGTGGGTGGTGCGGATGTCGTGGAGGCGAAATGTGATAAATATTTTGGTGTCTACAAATATGCACTCTGGTCTTTTGGCCGTGCTGTCGCTAATCGAATGAGCTAACTCGGCTTCATATTCCGTACTGAACTTATTACCAATTCATTTTAATAATATTATATACATATATATGTGAATAGGAGCCGGGATAGCGTAGTCGGTATAGCGACTTATTACGGGGTGGACGACTGAGGTGTCGAAGTTGAAGCTCTGGCATGGAGTCAAGAATATTGTTTTCTCCACGTCTTCCAGATCGTGTTTCAGGTCAATTGAAAAAAATCCAGTGAACACATCTGGAATCGGACCAGCGACTTTCCGGCTTGTAGCATAGTGCAGACGAATTTTGAAAACACCGCCAAACTTAAAATCTGCAATGTATCTCACATAATTCTGTGCTGGGTTGTCTGAAGTCTGTTAAGCTTGCCTGAACCCAGTCACGTATGCTGAAGGTTCACGACGCTTTTGGAGCACATCCGTGATATACATCGCGAGACAAAGTCTGGGCAGAGTTGACTGCAATTCGGGCACTCGGGTTCTCCGATTTGAGGTAATTAGGGGCGGGTCCTGTAATGCAGTTGCCATTGTCTCTGCCTTTCTTGTAAACTTCCCTCGCATGATTCATCTGCACGATCTTGGTGGCGGGAGACCTTGGAAAGCTGCTGATTCTCCTACCACATGGAGCAGGAGACATGGATGCCCCCAGGGATCTGTAAGGCCGTCATTAACGAGAGTCTTCTGACAAGAGCGGAAACGACTGTTTGAAAAGGATTGTAGAGATAATTACTTAGAAAAATAGCAGTAGAAACGTTTGAACCCTTGCAGACTGTCATTTATTGGCAACTAGTAAATGTTATTTATTTATGGTACATCAGGATGCAAAGCGTCGAATGACGGGAAATTAGTGAATCATAAATAGTTTAAGGAAACGATCATTGCCTATTTCAGAACATTGCCACGGCATTCGCTCGAAGGGACGGAGGAAATACGAAAAACCTTAGTCTGTGGAACGGGCACCGCAGTCTGGACAGGTAAGCAGCACCAGGCTAGGAACAATTCTTTTCACTGGCTCTACAGCCCCCTTGGGCACTGGCCTAATTTTCACTTTTATGTGTACTTTACAGGACCGCCTCTGTGGTCTAATGGTCAGCGTTCCTGGCTACAGATCCAGAGGTCCGGGTTCGATTCCGGGCGCTACCACTCAGCCTCGTGAATATAATTGAGGAGCTATCTCAAGGAAATAGAGGCTCCGGTCTAGAAAACTAAAATTAACCGTCGTGGGGATTCGTTGCGCTGACCACGCGACACTTTCTATCCGCAAAAAGTTGGCGCTGAACTTCGCCAAAAAGTAGCGGGCGCTGGGTCGGTGTTATTCGCTTGCGTACTGAAATCACGGAGTTTTTTTATGAGCATTTTACAGAAGGTAGGATTCCTTGGACGACTGATCAGCTAGTCTGAAGGCCTCTATCTAAACACGGGACAACACAAACACAAAATAAAGAAATACACATTCCAAACATACATGTCTTGTGTTGGATTCAGACCCACTATCCCGGCTTCCGAGCGTTCTACCGTGAGCTGCGACTAGGAACATTATCGACAGAAATTTTCAGCTTACCCATTAGCGGTTGTCAAGGTGTCTCGGCTCACTGACAGATAACACTGCTATGGTCGATTTCATTTTGTTACAATTGGGTCATGTGACATCACGTTCACACCGCAGAATTGGGCCAGTGGGTTCCGCCAATTCTGTCCCCCAAACGTATTTTCAAGAAATTATATATTAGAATAATTGTACAGGGCGTTCAATGATCGAGGAAACCTGGTAGCAGCGTGGATCGGGCACAACATTTCTCACTGATAGCTGCTGTAACTGCCGATAGCAAAATGAGTCATAAGCGCTGATAAACGCGAGCAATCTCGCTAGCGTAGAGTCGATGGAAAGTTTCCCTGCGACTACTGTGCCCTTCCCCGATAGCGAGAGTGCAGTCGTGCCGCTGATCCCCTCACATCATTTTCTGTAAATGCACATATTTATAAGAATACCGCAAAGAGATAACACAGACTTTCCGTGCTTTATAACAAGTGCTGAAAGTAGGCTCCTTCCGCTTGCAAACATGCCTCGAATGGCTTAAATACATTATGCGATAATTTATGAAGTTGGTCCACGGCAATTGAACCAATTACGCGTGTTAACTTCATTCTGTAGAACTTCAGTGATGCGAGGAATATTCTTGTAGACTTTTGTTTCTAGGTTTCCTCAAAGATAAAAATCGCAAAACTGAGACCTGGGATCTGGGGGGCCACAGACCCCCACTGATTGTTCTGCCTTCAAACACTTCCCTTGTTGCGACCATGGTTGCATGAGCCGCATGTGCTGTAGCACTGTCTTACTGAAAGTACCCGTACTGTCTGTCTTCAGCTGTCAGCTGGTTGAAGAACGGATTCAGTGCAGCATTAATGTCGCGGTCAGAGTTCACGGTGCTGTGGAAAAATAAGAGGCCACTGATTTGCCGCGGACTTACAGCACACCAAACCCCAACATTTCGCTATATAATGGCACTTGCTGTATAGAGTGAGGACTTTCATCGCCCCGTATTTTTACATTTTGTGCATTGACATGACCACTGACATTAAACTGCGCTTCATCAGCCATGAACAGAAGCTGTGGATCCACGATTCCATCGTGCACATTTTGCAGTAGCCAGTTATAAAAACCGATTTCTTCCTGCCTAATCTGGTTGTTTCAGGTCAAGCACAACTGTTGTTTTATACGGGCGAAATTTGATTAATTTTGTGGCTGTGAAAGCAGATCGTGGCGAAGCAACGTTCTACTGTGCTAAGCGTCTTAACGATCTTCGAGAACTGATCTGTAGTCGTGGCTCGCTTCTGTGGTCTAGTGGTCAGAGTTCTTGGCTACAGATCCAGAGATTCCGGGTTCGATTCCTTGCGTTACCAGATTTTCTGAGAAGTAGTTGGTCTGGAAGGGGGCCCACAACCTGGCGAGGATAATTGAAGAGCTGTTTCAAGGAAATATCGCCTCCGGTCTAGAGAACCGAGATTAACGGCCGTGGGGATCCGTTGCACTGATCACGCGACGCCCTCTATCAGCAGAAGTTGTCACTATGTTCTCCGGCAAATGGTGGTCGCTTGCAGACTAGAGGTTCACGGAGTTTCTTTTTATTTCTAGTCGTACCTTAATATCCTGAACCTTTTCTTCAGTTAGCACAGTCCTCTTGGGTTGCTTCTTTATGTCACACACTAAACATATGGCACCGCCACTTTTTCACAAGCTTGGATACACACGACTACGTGATAACTGGTGAGTCAGGATATTTACGACGAAACTTACCGATTCATTTTCTGTAAGTTTCTTTCCTTGGAAAAGTTTCGACAATAAACGCACTCTGTTCAATAGTTAACTTCATTTCATTATAAATATTGACCGTCTATCGACACTTCTAAGGCACGTACAAGTCTGGCTAGGCGAGGAGCCGGGCTCGGATTCATTTCACCACACACTTATGAGCGTGGCGACCCATACACGGACGAGTTTGGCTCATTGGAACCCGAGCCGAGTCGGACTCGCGAGCCAGACTCGTACGTATATGGGCCCTCTATACAGACTGACTGTTAATGCCACTTACTGCAGTGACAAGATCAGTCAACCCGACGGTGCGCTTTTAACAGCGCTAATGACTCCTTCTGCTTGATGCAGTTCAGCGGCAATGTGTGAGAAATGTTGTGTCAGCTCCGCGCTGTTGAGAGGTTTCCGCGATCATTGAACGTATTGTACTACGCTGTGTTTTCGGTTAAAAGCGGACGGTGATACCGGATACTTCACATGAATTAACGCACGCGCGTTTCTCGGCCGTAACTCGGCTATACATTTATCGGAGCGAAAAATGTTACAGACAGAACTTTTTGGGAGAAATGCAACACTTTCTCATAGGTGCCAACGATTTTCAATATGCGAGTAATTAAAGCTAAGGTGTTTTCTTTATGCGTCTTTCACAACGTAGTGAACCCTTGCATTGTCTTTGATCAAATTTTTGTATGGAGGCATTCAGCCCCAAATTGTGAGATATTTTTACGGCAACATCGGACTCAAAATCAGGATCACTAGTCCCGAAGGAGCCGGACCTGAGAATGACTGCACTGGCGAGGGTCAGCAGCTGTTGTAAACGACAGATCCATCCACTCGTCAGAGAGGGTATTACAAAATAACTGGAACAGCAAATGTTCAGTTGAAAAAATGCTGGTCGTGAATCTCAAGGGGATTGTCGCCAAGACGAACCGATTGACGGTAAAGACGTAAAGTAAACTCTGGCTGAGGCTTTCCAGAAACATCCACACGGCCGATGGACTTTTAATGAGAACATCAGACGCCCAGTATTGTAACTTCGCGACAGGCGTTTTCGACAATATCATCATTTCGCATTTTGAGTGCTGTTCGTCATTTTTCTGAAGATAGCCCCTCTACAGTTTTATTCGACCCCTAGTCTCTACATTAGTGAAACGAATTGAACATTTTTGTAGCCTGTGTTTTTGGACCCATTTCAATGGCCCGTATTTCTGGAGCCAGAAATATCAGTCACCAAAGAGAAAGTCACTTAAATACGGAATATAAATGAAGTGCACCCAAGAGTTCAGGCTGCAGCGAGGCGTACAGACAGACGGATGGTCTTCGAGGACCCACTTTTCATATTGAAGGCGACGGAAGAGTATAAATCTGTAGAAATCCGGAGGTCGATTCCCTTCACGATCATAAGAGTCCCGCGTATTATGCACGTGAGAAGATAAGAGCGGCCTGTGAGCGTGCAGTAAAATTTCCAGGTTTTTAATATCATTTTCCATTTTCACCACAGGTTTCGATCGATCTTCGTCAGGCTAATAGAAAAAAATCAAATAAACATATACATTATACACTGTAGATTTCAAAGTGTCCTGATGAGGCTGGATAACACTCAGAATTGCTGTGTTTTCGGACTTTGTCCGTCTATCGTTCGGTATTCTGAAAACTAGAGAACACAAAGTTTCGGAAACTGGGTCTCTTTCCCCGTCGCCTGAGGACGGAAACACATCCAGTTTCCGGAACTTTGTGTTCTCAATGTAAGATCTGAGGTTATCACAGCTGTGGCTATGAAGAATTCCGTCGTCTGGGATGTGGCGCCATGTAGATCTTGTGTGAACCGTCGTTTCGGAGGAATTTATCGCATGTATCTTCAGGGTAAAAAATCAAAGTCAGCGTCAGCAGATGGCTGCAGACGGCATTATTTGTTATGTTCTCTAATTTTTAGAATACCAGATAATAAACAATGTCCGAAAACCGAAAAAGTACCATGTATAAAATATATAAACTTTAGATATAATATAATTGAGATTTGTCTGATTCGAGTGCAATATAAATTTGTGTTCTTCAGGGTTTAATTGAATCCAGCACAAATGTCCTGTCCAGTCGCTCTCATTATAATACGAATTTTGCTGTTTAGATTTCTGACACTGTAAATGTAAGAGGATTGCTAGAGCATTGTACTTACGAGTGAGCAGGAGGAGCAGGGCTTGTTTCACTACTGATCGTCGCTTTGCAACGTGCAACTTGAATATGATGTATTGTGCCCGAAGCGCAACTGGTCGGCATATATTCACGGAATAGTTAGCAATAAGAATAAGTTCAAGGTGTTCCTGTTAAACCAAGAAAACTGTAACGTCACAAGTCGCGTTTTTGTCGAAAACGTGTCATTTACATATTTTCCACTTTGACGGGTTCTTTATCTATGAGTTATCGCTGAAATATTCATGTTGTGTGCACTTGTTGGTGTATGGAGTACTTGCTAAGTGTCTTTCCCCGTTTCAAATATACGTATATGGTGACGTGATAGGGTGATTACAGGGGGAGTTTGGGTTGGTGACTCGATTTATTGACCACTTATTTATACACACACAAAACTCGTGACTACAGTTTATATATTCCTGTCTCACACACACAGACTAATGTCCTCAGCCTATTACAGTTTCCACTAGACGTTGCCTGGTACCTGCTTTCGACGTCGGACTTTCCTCTAACTCTGGGTTCCCGAAATGTCCCCGTGACTCAGCTACCAGCTTCTAACAGCGACGGCTCACGAGGAGAGAATTGCCCTTCTCTGACTGACTTCCAAGCTGGCAGCCATCTCACCTCAACTAACTAGTCTTCTCTTCATATACTAACAACGTAGCTGTAAACCTCGTCTCGTTTATGATCCCTCGGCACGGACCACGTAGAAAACAGCTCATCCATTGTTGCCAATATCTGTCCGCGAAGACGTCACGCAGCAGAGGCCATGTATAATTGCTTATTAAAAAGCTGTTGCGTAGCAGCGGATGTTGTTTCGTCATCTCTTTCGAGTTCGCTACCCGGCAACGGCTCTACACACTACACTATGTTGAGCAAATTTGGAATTATTTTTTAGCCCTGTGTAGTGAATATGCTCATGTACCTACTGTTTAAGATTCCCATGGTTTCACCTATATATTATTTACACGGAGCATTGTTTGGCAAGAAAGTTAGTACATGCCTTGCTATTGAATTGATCAGATGTACTGGGGGACAGTTCGGGAACCCGGAAGAAGGGACTGTCGGCAGTTGAAAGTCACTACGAAGCAACGGCTAATGAAGGCTGAGGATAATTTGTTTGTGCTGTGATGTGTAACTCAGTGAGAAAATTGTAGCTATTAGTAGTTAGGTTCTGTAATTGTCCAATAAATCCAGTTACCAATACGAACCGCGTCTATAGGGACTATGGCGTAACAATAATATTGCCACTATTACGAGCTGGGATAGATCAGTGGGTATAGCGACGTGCTACGGGGCTGGATCGGCAGAGTTCGTTTCCCGGGAGGGGCAAGAAATTTTTCTGTTCTCCACGGACCGGCTCTGGGGCCCACCGAGCCTCCTATTCAATGGGGGGGGGGGCGATTTCCCTACGAACTTGGGGAAGTTTTTATTATTCAATCGATACTTTATATTAGTCGATATTTCTACATAATTGGCCATCGAGTGCAAGGACCTCACCTAAACCGAATATGTGCAGCACATGAAGACTGTAATATATGCACCCCTTAACATACATATATATTACTTTAAGCATTATGTATATGATTTTGTCTGACTGTACAGACAGGAAGTTATTATTATAACAATAAGATAACTCTGGTTGAGACAAACACGCATGATGCAACACTTGTTTGTCGACTAGAGAACAAGGAACTTTGGGATCATCTGCTATGAGCATGAACTCCACGTGAAATCA